GCAGCATTCAATGAAGTGGTCTGTCCCGTGGAGCCTGCTGCAGCCACAGCCCTGCGTGTCCCTGGCCATACCTGTGCATCCCCTCCAAACTAGAGGCACCTGGAACATCTGGGGAAGGTTTGAAAGTCCCACCACCCCCTACGCTGGAAGGCTAACATACCAGTGGCATGAGGAGGGACACCGTGGGGCTTCTCCCCCTAGGAGTCTTTCCCTGTTGCTATTCCCAATTCCCAGTGGCCCCCAACCAGCCAGGTCTCCCATGGTGCCTGGTATAGAGCCACCAAGTCACAATGGTCTGCAGCAGCCACAGGTGCTGGCAATATCGTTAACAGGACCAGCCTGCCCTGTGGTTGCTTTCTCAGGGCCTGCAGGGTGGTTTACTGGTCTCCAGCAGCCACAGGTGGTGGCAATATCTTTAACAGGACCAGCCTGCCCTGTGGTTGCTTTCTCAGGGCCTGCAGGGTGGTCTACTGGAAGGAGATACTGCTTTTTAAAGACTTTGGGGAAACAGGATTGCAGGGTTTTTCTTCTTCCCGCTGCTACCTTTTCCACTGTTCAGGTTTTTTTGGTGTATACTTTATGGATATTTTTTTTCCCTCCTTTTTCAAGACAGTTTCAACTGAACAAATAAAATGGCCCTGGAAAGAGTCTTGGTTTCCAAGAGCAGAACAAGCAACGAGCACAAATGGCAGATAATAAAATCCAGGCTGCATTTCCGATGGACCAGTTCTGGGGACTTTTCAAGCCTCTCCTCTCATTAGACAGGGGGAAGATGGTCCCTCAAGGAGCCTGGTTGCTGTTTCACAGCTCAGCGCACGGTTTGAAAAGGCTAAAGCTGTGCTAGGAGGTATTTCTCTTTCTTTCACCACGTACCTCACTTGCAAGCAATGGAGAAGGTGAGTCATGGCTGAGCAAGCAGAAAGATTAGAAAGGACTGAAAACCACAAGCAGTGGGTTGGGGTCCAGGGGGCTGCTGGACCGCTCCCTCATGTCTTTAAACCCTGCTCCCTTCCTTCCAGCCACCTCTGATGGCCATGTACCTCCCTTTGCTACGCACCAGCATCTCCTTCACTTCTGGTCTTGGCACGGACTCTCTCGTGGCTTCCTGGACGAGGAACAGCATCTACTGGTGACATCAGATGTCCTCTCTGGGGAACAGCTCCTGAAATCATGCCCTTTCACTGGGGCTCTCACAGAGGACAGCACATTAAGGGGCTCCACAGCCCCAAGCAACCATTTTTAAATCAAAAAGGGCAGTTGTCTGTGGCAATAGCTAGGTGATGAGCTGTATTCCCATC